TTTTCCTCTTTTTTTGGTGCATGATTTCGATATGGTTTATAAAATAAAGATTTGATCATCATTCTCACGTCTCTCCTGCACTATTTCTCGTATAGATGATATTTAAAAAAGCGAAAAACCATGATATTTTCATCCATTACGGATGATTTTTAAGAAAATCGACTATAATCGATTACATTTTGATTATCATATAGAAAAGATTTTTTTACATGAGTCCAACCTGTGTTCTAGAATATGATTCGTCTATGCACAACTCCATTTTGGGTATGTGAATGATTTTAACGTAAAGCATAAATTTTTTAGAAATCGTCTGTCTTGTAGGACAGGAATACATCAAATTTGCCATATCCATATTTGACTGAATGCTTTCGAAATACGATTTTACAATGGGTACCTATTAGTATCTTTTGGCTGATTGTACCATTGTGGCTCTTCATGTTATTTAAACGAAAAATTCAATCACAACCACTCGCTATTTCTATTCTATGCATCGTCAAAATGGTAAAAAGTTTTTGCTTTGAAAGCAAGAATTCGAATGTTTCATTCTTAGATTTTTGCTGTCTTGTTTCTTCTGGTTCAAATGGTTCGAATCGTTTACTATTCGATGACGCCGAACGATCAACGAAGTCAGACAAATTTTATAACATCAGTTTTATATATAATTACAATCATTTTCGTACTTTGGCTTATGAATTATGAGCGAATCAAAGGCATGTTTTGCTCAGGTTTACTCTTCTTCTTTTGGCTATTTGTTTGTCTTGCAATATTGCCTGATATTATGAATTATTCGTTTAATTTTAAAGAACAACCAGTGAGCTGCCCATGAATATTCATCATACTGATTGATAATAACTACTTTTAGGATAAAATAACAGTCGCAAAAGAATCATTTCGTGTTTGGCTTCATTTTATCTTCGCTCTTGGTTCGTTTCTTGCCAATTGTTTCGCTGAAAAGTATAGATTTCCAGAACTGAAAGTCGGCGATAGAGTAAGACTATTGTGTGTCTATAATTATGAAAATATTCAAACGTGATGTTTTGTGGAACTCACATATGTTTTCTAAGAAAATAGTGTGTAAATTTTCAGTTCGAGGTTTTCCGGCTCCCTCCTCCCCCCACCCCATTACAGACACATAGCAACGGAGAAAGAGAACATTGCAGACATATCCCGTATTACAGACAATACCCCCATTAGAGACATACGCCCCATCACAGACACCCCCCCCCCCCCACCACATTACAGACCTTAGCAATCGAGAATAACAGGCGTCAGACTTTCTATAGTTTTTTGCAAAATCGATCAAGTTATAATTCTGAAAGATAATCAACATCATTATTTGTGAGTTGATTAATATATATAATAGTGCATAAGATCCGCTGTAGATATAATCGATATGTAAAACGGACGTGTTTGCCAATTAATTCAATGATTATAATAAAAAAAAATATAAAATTAAGACAAAAAAAATTGCGAGAGATGAAAAATACTGAACGAATAGCAACAATGAAAACGAAAAAATAAGGGCACCTGTCAAAAAATTTAAAAAAACTTAGGAATTCTTGATTTTATACTTTCTATATTTGATATTAGTATAGTGAGGCTATAGAGAGCATATGTGACCTCCACATGTCAGCCCCAAAGGGGCTGCACTAACAAGCTTTCTTTTCTGTTTTCGCATAGCCTACTGTTCCTGAACTCTATGAATCGTTTCCATCGCGAATAACCTTTTCATGGGTAACACCACTTATTCTTCATGGTTTTAAAAAGCCACTTACTGAAGATGATTGCTGGCAATTGCAAATATCAGAACGAGTTACCAATGTTGTTCATCAAGTACAAGCTTGCTTGTAAGAACTTATTGTCATTGCCGCTGCGATAATTTTGTCTCTATTATCGTTTGCACAGATCGATAAGTCATACCAAGGATTTAGTGTATAAGATGAGCAATCATGTTTCAAATCAGAGTCGATTGGAGGATGAAAGACAAAATTTGGTAAGAATTTTCTTCCTACAAATTCTAGACGAAATGTCGCTAAGATTTGACTAGATACAAGAGAGTCTCATTCAATGCATCTGAGACTTCGAGAAAAAGAAGAGTTTGATATGTGAGAAACTTGGTCGGATGAAACCAAAATTCAAGATGTACCATGTTTCTTTTTTTCAGTGGTAATAACATCGATCTTCGAACAACATAGAGGATATCAAAATATATTGTAGTTTGACTACGAGAACAATTCCGAATCAGGACTTTTTGATCGAAGATATAATCTTATGATTTCTAAATGTATATATCTTTTGATTTAGTTGACCAAAGTGGTATGTAAATGATGGCCTCTCTTTCTGTACTCTATTATTTGGTCTATTCACAGTCGTCAGTTGAAGGAAAAGCTTCATCGATACAATGTCAAAAAACGAGAGCCCTCTGGCAAGCTCTCTTTCTTGCATTCAAAGACAAACTAATTGCATATAGTTTCTTAAAAGTAGTCCACGATCTTCTTCAATTCAGCGGACCAATGATTCTGAAGTAAAAATTGATAAGAAATTGCTTTTTGGTTTTTGAACAAATCAAGTTTATTTCCAGACTTTTGCTTAACTTTGTCAACGATCCAACAAAACCAACATGGCTTGGCCTTTTCTATGCTGCTCTACTCGGTGCAGTTACTTTTAGTCAATCACTCATTTCTAATGTTTATGTGTATCAACAAAATCTCGTTGGAATTCGATTTCGCTCGGCTATCACCGGACTTGTATACCGAAAAGTTAGTAAAAGACGTAGTCCTTGAATTATTATCATTGATCCATGTTATAGAGTTTGAAATTGTCAAATTCGGCTAGACAGAAGTCGACAACCGGTGAAATTGTGAATCTTGTAAGTGTAGTACTATAGGCAAGATTTTTAGTCCAAGAAAAATCGTGGCATTTGTGCCGTGAAGAAGTAACGTCTATTTTTTTATTACTACGAAGCTTATCTTCGTAGATTTCTCAAAAACTCCTTTCTGACCGACTCCGTCCATCTCGAGTCTTAACGTTTTTATTTATAAAAATAGATGTCTATCGATGCTACTCATTTTGGTAGTTTGATCACGTATATTCCTATCCTGTGGTCAGGTATATTTTATTGTACTTTGATAATACTTTTGCGAATGTGTATCTTTTAGGTCCATTTCAAATTTGTCTCGCATTAGTGTTACTCTATCGACAAATGCAATTTGCAATTATTTCTGGTGTTTGTATTATAGTTGTTATGATTTTTATCAATGTATTCTTTCAAAAAATCCAAAAAAAACTCACCGTATGTCTAATTTCTTGTTTTTCTGTTGCTTCTTCTAAAACTTCAGTTATAGACAAAACAAATACAACTAAAAGATCAACGAATCAACATGACGAATGAAGTTCTCAATGGAATCAAAGTAGTGAAATTGTATGCCTGGGAAGTAGCTTTTACTCGTCGTCTGACCGATATTCGCGAAAAAGAACTAAATTATATTCGACAAAAGGCCATTATAGATACTTTCCTGACAGCGCTTGGAACATGCACACCAATTTTAGTAAGACTTCAAATGTAGATTTTTTTTGAATTAACACTTTCATATCGATATGTTTAGGTTTCCATCACGACATTTGCTACGTATGTTCTCTCGTCAAATAAGAATACTTTGACGGTCGAAAAAGCTTTTGTTTCATTGGCACTTTTCAATATACTCAGTAATATATTGACTGTATTTTCTACTATTATTAATGATGTTATCGAAGTAAGTCTCAGTGATTGCCGTTGAGATATTTAGAGGAAACTTTTTTTCTATCTATAGGCTAGCGTATCAAATAAACGTCTTCAAAAATTTTTAAATCATGATGAAATTGATGAATTCGCCGTTGCTCGAGTATCCATTGATATTGGTAGGTCTTTTATTAATGTCACTCGAATTACTTTATCAATATACGTGTAGATGGAAATGTTGTTAAAATTGTAGATGGGTCATTTCGATGGTCGAATTTCATTGATGATCCACTCATTTTGAAAAAGTTCGTCAATTAGAACATTAGATATGAGAATTCATTTCAATTTTTGTGATATATAGTATCAATCTAAAAATTCGTCAAGGTTCACTTGTTGCACTTGTCGGTTCAGTTGGGTCAGGTAAGAGTAGTATATTGGCGGCGCTTCTCGGTGAAATGACGAAAGTTGATGGACAAGTCAGCATCAGTGGAAATATTGCCTATGTACCGCAGACAGCATGGATTATGAATGCAACATTACAACAAAATATTCTTTTCGGACGTGATCTCAAGCAGATGTTATATGATCAAGTTATAGAAGTGTGTGCTCTGGAACAAGATCTCAGTATTCCTATATCAATCCTTCTAATGAATATCATATCTTGTATTATTTTTAGACATACTCCCTCAACAAGATCAAACAGAAATTGGTGAAAAGGTAATAATTACGACTTTCATCTGTGATTATTGATACCAAATGAACAAACAATATAGGGTATCAATTTGTCCGGTGGTCAACAACAACGAGTCTCATTAGCTCGTGCATTGTATACCGATGCAGACATATATCTACTCGATGATCCTCTCTCGGCAGTAGATGCACACGTGGGTGCTCACATCTTTAATTATGCCATTGGACCCAAAAGTCTATTGCGTGATAAAGTGAGATGACAGTTAACGGATGATCTAGAATAAATGGTGATCTCATTATTTCGTTAGTATCTCACTCAGTTCTCCTGTTTTAGATTATGAAAAGTAGGGTGCGGGTGTGTGTGAGTGTGGGTGGCTGGGTACGGGTGGATGTGGGATGTGTGTGGGTGTGAATCTTCTCATCACATCCACACCCACACCCACACCCTTTCGAGGTTTGACGGCTCCCCCCCCCCCCCCCCCCCCCCCCCCCCCCCCCCCCCCCCCCCC